AAGGGACTGTTCTTTTTATTTGTCTATATAGTATCGCACACAGTCGTATACGTATTATTGTAAAACGATTTTATTCATAGGAGATTGAAATTCCTGGAGTGTTTCGCTGTTTTTTAAATGAAATAGCTGATCTCTCGAAAACAAATTACACAAGTTTGAATTAATTGCGACTGCGGTTTGATGTTGGTTTTTTGCAGTACGTCAGTACCTACTATAGCAATAGTCATGAAATGTTTGAAACCGCAAGATATATACGTATGTACTTTATATGTTTGTAAATAATACAAATAATTAAAACAAGTTCCATTCATATTTCATTTTGTGGGTAAGACCAGAAGAAAGAGAGTCTATCGTTTGACATACGGGCGGCATATTGTGATAAAATATGAGACAGGACAGATGGTCGGCAGCAGGAGTACGGCACGTGCTATGGTTCGGCGGCAGTGGTTCTAATGATTTAAATTTGAACATATTGTATCATAATCTTACGTGACGTTAAACGGCGCGTGTATCTAAATATTATATTTATATTGTTGTATCGAAAACTATCCAAAAAAGAAAAAAAAAATGTTAATAAAACAGACGTATCAATCACCATAAGAAATATGACATAAAATTAATTTATTAGATACGTGATGTTTTTTTCGTTATATTCAGCGTAGATAATATTAGGTACAATGATAGGAAAAACAATGCTCAATGTAAACTTTACATTAAGCATTTTTATTCTTATACTTTACAWTGTAAAGTATAAGAACAAAAATTGCTTTGTGATATTTAATCTTATATATAGGGAGTGATTATATACATATATATATATATAAATTCAAATGAAGCATCACCTAAACATTTGTAATTCACGAATAAACAAGCTGACAATAATGTATATATTTTAAAACTGTATGTAACTTACAACTTAGTTTAATTCTAAAAATATGAAAGCATGGGTGAAATATTTTTTGAATCCTCGTCCTGCCAAATTAATTTTTAACTTAAAAGCTTAAAAAATTTAAAAGCCATAAAATAAAATAAACAATCAAACATTCATAAAGATAATATATCGAACGATGCAACGGCATAAAAYCATGTGTCCAATCATTTGTCACTTTTTATTCTGAACATTTGAGATTATCTGGTTSAAATAACAGAATTTTTATTAAACGTAGTCATAAATCAATTAGTTTGAACTCGCACATGATCATAATATAATTGAGACCACGTAACCAGCATATATTGTAACAATTAATGTCATACCGTCGTATAGATTATAGAATATGATTTAAATTAATAATTTAATGTGAAAATACCGAAAATTACATAGTAATATTCTCTTAATTAACAAAATACTATTGATAATTTTTAATTCAAAAACATAGTAGTGTAATACAATACTTAAAACAAACGAGTACGTACACTCGGGAGAACAACAATGCGTGCAGTACGTTTTGTTTACAGACATAGCATTTTTTTTTTTAATTTTAATACGTTTTAGTGCACTAAGAACAGTTATTTATACGAAACTATATTAAATATCATATAATAATATATAAAATAATAATAWTAATAACAATAATAATAGTAATAATAGTAGTAAAATATTTCCGATGTCATATGTTGTTGAACRAAAATGGAAAYAGGGAACCGAATTTCCGTAAAATTTTTTCCCCTTTGGCAAGTACTTATAGGTACATAATACATGAATACATATAGGTACTGCTGTGTAACTGCGCGGACGTGCCCACTCTCGATTTATGATTTTTGCGCCACTTGAATTCGCGATCACCGCAGTATGGCGATATAGTAAGTTATATATATAGGTATTGTACATGTGTTCCACTTATACAGTGTACTTGCGTTTATACACACACAGAGACAAAAAATCGTATTGGCAACGAACACTCGATTTATAATAAAAAAAAAAACAAAACAAAACAAACTCCTAACAATTCACATCACGAATTATCTCTCGCGGCCGCGCCTCCCCATCGACATCTCCGCAGTATTATAATATATATAAATCGCACGCACGCTGCACAAGTGTTATAGTCCCCCCCGTGATGATTTTTTTTTTTTGGTCCCCGAAACTCGGCTCGATCGTTACGCGTTATTGTTCTCTCGTAACGTATCGGGGCTGTACCAAACAACCCTCAAACCATGCAAAGGTGTTGTACCCCCGAACCACGGTTTATGGTATGTATATATGCATAATACGTGAACACGTCACCTGGGTACTGATTTTACGATGCCATGTGTTTAGGAGGGGTGGAGGATACTATAGCGATCGGTCATGAATGACGTGTATATGCGCGAGTGTGTGTGTGCAATATACGCACTTTAATACACACGTTGATCCCAATTGTATTACGATTTAATGTGCTATTGTCGTCGAGCGCATGTTATAATGATTCTGTTGTGCATCGCGCGTGTTTCGTCCCGTTTAATTTTTACGTGTCGAATTTTCGGGCTGGACTTCCGGACGGACACGACCCTGCCCGGTCGTAAAAATTAAACTTTTTGGCGGAAACGCCACGTGTACATTTTCATCGCAACGGAACCGATCTGTGCAGACGAACACGGTCAGTGGCATATTATAATACACACCGCGCTACGCACCCATGTCGTTATTACATTGAATTATATTATTGTTTCATTTATAGTATAAATCAATTCGTATAAAAGCATTATTTCTGCAAACTCATTTCGACCCGAACTCAATGAAAACTGGTTTTCGTGCGTGAATTTAATTTGTCACCGCGTGTGACAGTTTAATATGTATCTATCCAATATATATATATTATATAAAAATTATATACATATATATTATATGGTGTGAATGTATGTGTATTATCTCCTCCTCCACACACTCGTCGTATTTCATACGTATAAAGTGAATAAAATTGAAAACCACTAGATTATTTTTTTTCTGTCGTTACTTGGTGAAAAATTAATTGAAAAGGATTTGTTGAGAACATCACATAATATTTTTTCTCTTCGTATATTAATATAATGAAAAAAAATAAATACGCAGTGACTTAACGAAAACACGAAAATAGGCCTTCGTTTTTATATCGTTTGAACAATGACATGTATAACTCGTACCTATTTAATATATTATGAGATCTGGTTTTGGTCAGTGTTACGATGGGTATAGTGTCTGTATGAACTATGAACCGTGAACCGTATACCTACGATTCAAAAAATTTTCCTGGTCAACAGGTAGTTAATGCCTTGTACTTATATATTTATAGGAAAAATATATTAATATGCGTATAAAAAGACTATACAAAATATTCGTGATAACGGAGACTTTATGTCCTGTCGGCTGTTAGGCCATCGATAAAATGTCGCACAGACACAAACTATAATACAGACGTTTGTATAGCATATATTCCGTATTGCGGATACCAATACTGCAGGTGCTATGCGCACAATGTTTTGATTATTTTCAATTCAGACTCGAGGTGAACACTCCGATTTATATTTTATCAATTCTCGTCGTTTAATCTATAAATGTATACAAACTGTATAAGGTGTTTTTTTTCTTTTATTATTACTAACTTATAATATATTATATTATCATCTTGGATATATTTCTGATATCACRAATTCCRTAGTGGTAATGTGTTTTGTAAAGAATGTATTTTGGGTGTGCGTAATACAACACAAATCGACTTTAAATCTGTATATAGTAAATTACTAGCAACGCACTCCGCGGCACATATAAAAATATAATATATAAATCGAATGAATTTTTATATAATAATAAACACAAAAAAAACGTTTGCATACATTGTCCGTCGGGTAGTTGGGATTGGGATACGATATTTCAAGTAGAATAAGAAAATATTACGGTATCACTTACGTGACCTGAAATTACTATACTATATTTATGTATTTATTATATAAGAGGTGTCGTGTATAAAATGTGATTCCAATTTTTGAAAAGACTTGGTTATAGTTAAAATCTTAAGGATAAAATGAGTACAATTGAAGTTGATATTACAGGAAAAATAAAAACGGTGGTGTTTCTAACGACGTTATGACATAATCTATTGAAGACTGCAGAAAATTATAGACACCCGTCTTGAGAGAAAGTATATGGGATATACAATACACATTAGATATAGTCGTGCGCCTGTGCACATGTAATATATGTACCTACCTATACATACTATTTATGGGTTATACTCTATTAAAATAAGTGTGTTGTTGGCCGTAATAGTAAATAATGTAGACAATAATATTATGAAAAAAAATATGTACMTAATATAATAATAAAACGATTTTTAAATCTGTCGCAACATATATATATAGATAATAATGCGTTTGAAATTTATATACATGACAAAAATTGAATTTTTAAGAATTTGTTTTCTTATTTTTATAATAAATCACAGACCTATACACACTACATATAGTTTAGTTACTACTTCGATATTATTTTGTATTGTTCGATTGGTTCATAATAGATTTTTCTAAATTAAATACGCTGTTACAACAAAACAAACACATTCGAGGCACAAGAAATCCGATCTATAGTTATTTTACGCGCACGATTTCTCAGAAGAAAATCGTATAAGAATAGTGCTGACACGCATATATATAATACACATACCTATATTATTATAATTTACCACAAACGTATATACATTTTTTTAAATCGTATATGTATATAGTGTATACTAATGTAATAATTGCATAACGTTCGGTCTCAAACGTCTTCTTTGCGTCAAATTTTAACGGCAACACAATGTTTGTTTATAACAGCATTCAATTCATGACCACACTAGCCGAGGAGATTCACCGTGTCAGATCAAGAAAAATGCCCCTATCAGACATTTAAGTTTAGAAAATTCTACCCTTTAGCCCATATTTTTGTAGTAGACATTTGACACGACTTATTGCATACTTACACAGGATTATATTTACTTATAAAATAAATAATTAAATCAACAAATCAATTTATATTTGTGGTGTATATTTTTTGTGCAATTTATTACCAAGATAGATGCAGACATAGGTAAATACGATGATCGGCCCAGTGCAGGGCATTTGCCCACCTGCCCATCGGCTCCGTCCACCTCCGCTATCTCCTCGCGTGAAGGTAGAAGAGACATAACTCGAATACGAGTTAACAAAATTCGTGGAAAATGTAGATAACCAAAACATGACATAAATACTCGTATCGTACCAAGAAGGACGGATGACGATATAAATATTATAAATATCGCGTAAAAAATTCTAGAAATCATCCGCTGTAACACTTCAAATCTTAATCGGACGGAATACATACGGATAACGTAAGACGGCGACATGGTCATCGTTTTTATCATCACAGTGTCGGGGATGAGACGAGACGAGACGAGACGAGATTTATATAGAGTAAAAAGGTACACGATTTTGTCGACGAAAAAAAAAATGCGCATTAATCACGACGATTATACGCGCATTATTTCAATATTGCATGTACACGGATACGGCTCATCACGGCCGGCGTTTTGTGTTATAACATATATTTATGTTACATCATAACGACATTTAGACCACAACCGTCGGTCTTCTTCAAAGAGACGCGCGCCCGAGCACAATAACGCACACGCGCACAGGAAGTGCGATAATATTAAAAACGAACGCCACACGAGTCATCGCGGTGTAGGTACGTATATTATAATATTATAATGGTTATTCACCTTTCCACGGAGAATGCCCAGGTGTGCGTCTCTCGGGGCGGTCGGCGGCGACGATGTGCTTCTAAGAATTTCCCTCCGACGCCTACGCGCACAATGGACGGGTTAGAAATTCTCAAGGTAAATAGAGCTAGTCGTAGAGTCCTGTCGTAGTCATCGTCGTCGGAACTTCTTATGCATACCTGTACGGCGACTGGCGAGCAACCCGTGAACGACGAACATCGTATTATTATTATTATTATTGTTGTTAATATAACATGTACGGCGGTGAACATTATATATATATTTATATACGACCATAATAAATATATAATAATATAATAAACGAGTCGCACGAAACCAGTTCCTATCCTTATGCATTATGGTGTACAAAGGATTCCCAAAACGCGGGGAGCCAGGTCGATGTAATCTTGAAAAATGATCGTGTGAATAGTGTAATATCAGTTTGATGTTGTGTGTGTGTGTGTGTGTGGTGGGAGGGTGAAGTAATACTACGACGCGAGATATATGCGCATTTACACCCTACATCAAGTCGTGGAAAAAGAAACGTTTTCGATTTGTTGGAATTTAACGCGTCAGGGTCGTAATAACGCGATGCATGTCTGCATCGCAATCATTTAGAATAAACGCATTAAATTSCACGAGTGTTTGTTACCAAATTTGTTWTTGTTTTGAAATTCAGTTCGATTAACCTATATTTATTATCATTTCAATTTTCAAATTTTAATCAAAACATAAAACGTTTAGTTTATAAAAATCAATCAATATTTTTATATATATATACCTWACTTGGAAACTGTATATAGTTCGAATAAGCATTAAAATCAAGGAGATTTGCAAAAATTATCATCAATCGAGATGCTTGGTAATATTATTACCAGTGTTTCAATAAATAAATAATATAACATATTAGGTGTATATTCTATGTAAAACAAATTTAAAAGTTAAATAAGAAATACATTTTTAATTATACATAAATATAATATGATGCAATAATCTATGATCATATTATAATAGTTATATATACACATGAATACATGATTTTAAAAATATATTATACCGTGAGTTTATACTTCATATCGTATTAACTATAAGGTATGGTTGTACCATAATATAATTATATATTATAGTATTATATTTTATAGAAATATTTGCTTGAATATCCTTAGTTATAAAAATTCCGCAATAAATTTAAAAAAATGTCATTTTTAAAATARTGATTTTATCTATTATTAATTGGTTAATTAATGCAATTATCTGTTCTATGAAGAACATTAACAATTAAATAAATATTAACCACACTACTATAAACGACTATTTTAAATTATTTTAACTTTTGGTAATTTTCTTTTAAATACCATCACTCGTGTGTCAACTCTAGAGTATTTATGTGAACATTAACATTTAAGTATCTAGATAACATAATAGTTTTTTTTATATCAAATAAATAGCCATTAAGTATTTTTAATTGATGATATCATGAACATTTKCTTTAGCTAAACATAATTGTTAACATTAAAATATTATAATAAAAATAAAAATAAAATAATTGATAGTTTTAAATGGGAATTTTTCACATAAACGTCATTTTTCTATCCCTTAAAGYACAATTTTCCAAAAATTGTAAATTYGTGCATAAAATATTATTTTAATGATAAATGTTTGTAACTGTTGGTGTTTAGTTTTATAAAATTACAAAATAGATTATATATTTTAGATGTATATATGTATTTATATACTTTTGTCTGTGAAATTACCCAAGAGGTTTTTTTTTAGTATTTTTTTGAAAACCGTAGATGGGGTGTAAATGATGAGGGTCTTGTGTCTTTGTAATTAAATTGGTCTCACAATAAGTTTTGGTCTTTTTCTATATGCCCTCAACAGGAAGAGACTACGGGTGTTTAGTTACAGCTGTGGATTGTTAGTGGGGAACATCTCGGAAACGGAAGCGGCGACTCCACCAGACCCGTGAATGGCAACCAAACGCAAAGAGCACCACTCGAAAAAAAATATTGAAATGAACTGCGTTACCGGAAGCGGTGAAGATGATCGAAAACCTCAGTTTAAAACCTTAACAAGTGCGTCTAGATTGCATGCCATTTACATAATATACAATATACATTCGTGTACAATGAGGCCAACAAGTTTTTTGTGAACACCTGACCTTAAAAATCAATATTTAATAGTAGGTATGCATAATATCTAGGTAAATATACGTGAACAATATTTTTAGAATTTAAATACGATAAATTGTATTTATAATTTGCATTATCGAAGAAGAGTAGTAACATTTTATCGTTTTCATGGTTTTGTAAAAATATCGTCTTTTTGTTCTGTGTAGGTACGTAAAATTAATCCACTTAAGACTCCGTAGGGCTTATAGTAGTTAGAATTATTAAATACTGCGTATATTTTAAGAATGTTTAATTGAGTAGTTTATTAGTGCCATTTGTTTTGAAAATGTGTGTTGCCAATACATTTCTGTTGGTTTAGCGGAATTTATTATGTAGGCTGAATTACACGTATTTCGTTTCATTTAAGAAATCGGTTTATTGTTTGTCTATATTTATCAYATAAAGAAAACTATGCGTGGTTATTGAAATGCTTAGACAGTTATGTATTAAATATACAGTCTTATTTTCATAATATACTTATCTAAGTATACTTTTTATTTATTTTAAATAAGTCTTTTAAGTTTTAAATTGTATGATAACTGGTAATAATATTATCTTACTCTTAGAACATTCACCGATCAAAACGTCATTATATATTATAATATATATATTAATATTATTATAATATAAACTATGTAGTATGTTGTGCATATAAATMATTATTTTATAGAAAGACTTGGAAGTCTTAGAAATATTCTTACATACACATTATAGAATAATATTTTACTGTAGAATGTATTTTTCGTTTTGTGGTTATTAACTACACAACCGAATACGGAAATGAGGCAACACATGTTGATATTTGTTTTAACTTACACATTTAAAACCACCCTAGGCATGTAACGTGTAATAAATTATATCTTATGTAAGTTTAAAAAAAAAAAATCGTAGGTTTTTACAAAGAATTTTTTTTATGACTGAAGCATAAATTATTTTGATACCGTTAGTTTCCTAATTGAGATCATTTATGCGTGGATTTCATGAAAGCGCATCGTAGTTAGTCGTTACGATGTTACTCGTTTTAGTCGTTTTATACTAGATATTACCTATAGACATAGTATTGACATAAACATATATATTTATGATTTTATCGATTATAACGAAAAATATGTATTTAATGAGACGTTTGGGATCTCAAACAATCTTAAACATCGTGCTTGATTTAATCTGTTATAGCAGCAAAACAAATGGAAATTATAATATTCGAAAAATTGCAATTTTTACGATTATTATATTATTTCGTTCTCCGAAACGACACACTCGATGACGACGTCCATGGTACATCGTTAAGAGGGGTCTTCGTTGTTGGCGACGTCTTAAACGTACCGTATCCGCGTCATTTAATATAACTCAACCAGAATTATATTATTATTTTCGTTCGTCCGCTAGCCGTGRTTGTAAATCACCAGCAGCAAACCAGTCTACGATTATTATTATTATTAATAAATTATAAACAGCTGAATGTTTCACTTTTCACGGTACATCACGAATTATAATATAGGTACACTGCCGCGACTGGTCGTGTATGGCGATGGTGTTCATACCGTTGGCACAGAGAATGCGGTCATCCTTGAAGTTTGGCAACGTCGGCGAGGGAATCCCGGGGTGGGTCGGCGGGGGCGATGGGTCGGGTTTCGTATTTCGTCAAAGAAAAAAAAAGAAAAATATGTGTTTTCGCGGTAATCTTTACTACTCCGGGGTTCCAATCCACTCCTCCGATGGAATGTTTACGACCCAAAGACCGGTATAATAAACGTACGTACGCGCGGCGATGCGGTAACCTGTCCGGAGGCGCTATCCGGCGCGATCATCACCCCCGCAGAGAGACGCTATACACATTAACTACGGCCTCCCAGTAGGATGGGGTACAGGGCCAGAGGTGAGCACCGCACTCCGGTTGTCGGTTGAGGTCGTCCAAACACAATGAAATCGGTCGAATAAAATGGAAACGAAGAAATTTGAATTTACTACGTATAAAACCATATAATAGTGTGCACGCATTCTCGCTTCGGGCGGGTATATTCACCTGCAGCAGTTTTTGTGCTGCGTTTKTGTTGTCGTTGCGTGATGCCTTCGTCGTCGAACGCGGGAAAATATGGCCAACGAAGGTCGGCCGGTTAATGAATGGACAATGATAATTGCAATGTGATAGGTAAAAACGGTGTTTTTAGTGAATAATAATACAATCGTCTTCGTCATAGATATTCGAAATTAACGATGGAATATTACACAGGGAAATCGTAGGAAACGCAAACG